ACTGTTATATGTACTCTAATTTATCGCTAGTCTTGTCGTTTTTCATAATAAACAGCAATTCGAATAAGGTAGAATTGGAAGTAAATGGGGGACAACTGCTTCGGCTTTTTCAAGCGGGTGAAACACTAAGTCACGCGATGAATGGGAAATCAGTGGAACAGAAGTTACAGGAGACTTGGCAGTAGACTAGAATGTCCGGCTTCCATAAGCGGTTGACAACTGTGTTGCTTTGCGCCCCAAAAAGTTCTGTATGGTGGTTGTGTGCATGCAAGACCATTGGTAAGATCGCGGGAAGGTGAACGAAGTCAATGATAGAATATCGTTTCCTTTTATGAACAGCGTGACAACAGGCGTTGTTAAACCATTCTGGAGAGAAATGATTACCGGATTTATCGAAATAAGAATCCCTTGTAAAACTTCGGAAAATGTCGACGCGGAGATGGAGGCTGACGGAGAAACAAGTCATTTCAGGAGTAAGACGTTAGGAAGTTGCAATAGCCACACCAAGCAGCGGATCCTTATCGCCGGATTGTCCGTCTGTAATGATGGAAAGGATAACTTGGGTAGAAAGCAAAATGAAATGGTAGTCCGATGAGCCCAGAGGAGGAACTGATGCAATATTGGGAAAAACGTGTGGGTTGGATAGGAAGGCAAGATCGGGGCCGTGAGCGTGGTCGCCAGCACAGTCGGGATGCGGGTCAGGAAATCAACCGACAAACGATTCTGCCTCGCGTCCAAGGCATGATGTTAAAATCACCCAAATGGTGAACTGGGTGTTTGCGGTCTGCTTCAAAAATATTCTCGATGTTTGCCGCTAAAAGCGGTACTACTATCTGGGAAACAGTATGCAGTGCGGAGGCGGTGATTACTAGAAGGAACAGCCGCAGTTTGAAACTCGTGGTGGGTGACATTTAATTGGGACAACGGGGTAGGAAAAAATTCAATAATGGATAAAAAAACATCTGCTTAGGAGATAAATAAGGTTTAAAGGAAATGATGGGGATGCTGAATTCCGGGTGGTGTCTGTAGGAGGAAATAGTTATGCTGTGGATGAAAACAGCACATGAGGACTGAAGGAATTAATGTATGTAGTCAATACTGTGGTATAGGCCGCAAGTATTAGTGAGTGAGACTTTGCTTGATTAGTGATCCTATTTCTTGTAATATTCACAGAGATGAGGATCAACTGGTAACCTATCCCTGGAAGTTAGGGTGGCGAATGACATAAAGTTCCGATGCCCAGGCGATGGTACCGATCCCTACGACTGGCTGGTTATCTCCGTGTTGTCCTTATTTTCGGGTGCACGTCGTGTACCGGGTTGTCTGTCTTGTTCATTTTGATTTGTTTTGAACATTGTCTCAGGCGTTATTTTTGCGCGCTACTACTGTGTTTCGTTGCGGAGGCTTCGTGCTTCCTTGAATTCATTACTCTTTACTTCCGTCCATTATCTTCCACCATACCCTTCTGAAATATTTATCTCGGTTGTTCCATTATGCCAAATTCCTTCCGGTAATCCATCTTTCCTCACCTTTTTATAACATTTCTTTGCTGAGCAGCAGATTGGGCAACCCCTATGGTGACAAGGACCTGCCGTTCATTGATGGAAACCGGTAACCTAATCCCCGGGTTTTGGAGTGGCGAACCACATAAGGCCCCACTAATTCAGGCGAACTGTTGGCGATAACGGTTTCCACTTTTGTCTCGTTTCTTTTCTCAGTTGGCCTGCTTTGTTGAACCACTGGTCTCTTATCAATATGGCTGTTTGCTACCGTCGACCTCACGAAACGGTTCGAGTAGTTACACACACACACACCTGTTGATCAACCAATAGAACTTTGTTTCCGTTTTCGTGGATCGCTTTTAGCAATTTAATGCTACTTTCGACGGACATTCCCGGTCACCACGATGCTTGTTGGGTTACTCGTTTATGGTTTTAATCAATCCTTTGGTCATACCAGCGGTCCGAGAATGGTAGCCGACGTCTATTCTGTTGTTCCTGCAATAACTTACCATTTCCCGAAACGTTTTTATTGAAAAGAAAACCGTTTTTAATCAGTGATGCTACTTTTTGTGGTGCTGAATCGTACTAACACTATGTGGACGATCGTGTTCCCT